CTCCTTCCTCCCTCCCTCCCTCCCTCCCTCCCTTCCTTCCTTTTCTTTCTCTCTCACTCTTTCTTTCTCTCTCATTCATTCTTTTGTTATTCCTTTCATAAGGGGTGTATTTCCTTGTAGCATATGATATAACAATTTAGTATATGATTATTTCCATATGGGCAGTTGTCTCAACACTAGTAATTAATTTCTATTTCTCTATTAGTTCAAAATACTCCATCACATTCTAAATTTCTGAGGTTTTCTTTAGCATTTCTGTTTTATTGGATGTCCCTGTCCATATAATTCTCTTTCAATGATTATGGTATTGTAATTACAGTACTTATTGCATTTATTTGATATCTGATAGAGGAAGGATGACTTTATCCATGTTTTTTCAGATGAACATTCTAACCTTTAACCAAAGCCAATTGTACTGAATAGAATGAATATACTTGTGTTTAGTCTCTCTAATTGCTCTTGCTCATCTAGAAAAACCAGGGTGTGGAGACTCTGCCAGTGAAGGGGAAGCACTAGGATCTGCATGGGGGCTGGAATTAGCCCCAAGCTGAATTACTGGGTCTTCGTGGGTTCAACATTTCCAAGCAGCCTAAGCACATCTCTTGGTTACCCTGGTTAGTCAGTGTGAAGGTCTGCCACCTGTGACTCTGTGTCCCACTGGACCAGTTGCACATTAAAAACACCTAAAGAGCTTTTCTGAAATAATGATGTCCATGTCCCACTCCAGACGGAGTGAATCAGAGTCTCTCAGGAAACGGTGTCTGGGGTTTGGTGCATTTTAAAACCCCAGACAATTGTGCTGTGCAGCCAGGGCCAAGACCCAAGGCCCTAGACTGTAAGCTGCCTGTAGTCAGGAACCATGCTATTCATTCATTTGCCATTCCCAGTCCCTGGTACCACTCCTGACATGCAGAACACAAAAGAATTGAACTGAATTCAGGTGAAGAACCCAGACTTATACATCTCTACTCATTCTTCTAGGGAAAGAGACACAGATTATCAGTGACCAATAATACTTATGCATCCTCTTGGTGGCCTCACAGTCTTATTGGAAAAAGTAGCTTTAAGAGGGAGAAAAAAGATCTGTCTCGGTCCAATAAAAGTTTAGCTCACAGTCTGAAAAGAGGAGGGCTTAGGGAGAATCCAGTCTATCCCCTTATTTTAATGTCTTGGAACCCAGGGATTACATGACTTTGCCAGGCGGCGCAGATCTTAGTAGCACATCTGGAACAGAGAGCAGCTCTTTTTATTCCAGATGTTTGTGCTATAGCTTGTTGTCCTTGTGTATGTGCATATAGGTGTGAGTATGCATTGTTAGTGTGTGTGAGACTGAGTGTGTGAAGGTGTATATATGTGTGTATGTGAGTCTGTGTTGTGTGTGTGTGTGTGCACAAGGAATGGGAGGGGTGTGGAACCTGAGCGGAACCAGTCTCCTTCTGCAGAGCAATCACATTATTATAAACAGAAAACTAGAAGTGCTTTCTTCCTTTGGCCCTTAGGTTTGCTGTGTCTTCTCCAGGTTGACCTTGGCCAGGTCCAGTAATATTTTCCTGGGAACAGGGCAGGCTTCCAGGGCTCAGAGTCTATTGCATACAAGGTGCTCTACATTCAGGTGTACTGAGAAGGAATTTGGGGAAGGGTTGTAGTAGGTGGTCTTAGGCTTGATCTGGTTTGAATTGGTATGTCAGAGCAGCTGGGAAAGCATGGGCCACCGTGCCTGTACTGGTTTAGGGTCTAGGAGTTTTCTATGAACAGATGGCAGCTTTACGCATCTGAAAATTCAAGTAAAAAAAAAAAAAAGACGATCCTTATCCTTGCTGAAGGTGTGATGTCCTCCTTGGACAGTCTCTCTTTTCATATCTGTGTCCTCCAAGGTGCTTCTCTGCCAGTCCTGAGGCTAGGGTAACCCTTGGGTCCTAGCTCAAAGGCTAACTCTCTGCTGGCATAGCTTGGTCAGGCCCAAAGTCCCCCACTTCCTTCTAGACTTCAGGGAGGTCGCATGGGGGAAGATAGAGCCTGCCTGTGACAGCCTTCGGTGGGTCTGGTCTGCTGGCTGGCTCCTGATATGATCCTGTATGCTTGTGTATCAAGGAAGCCCCAGCTTAAATTTGCTAGAGGAAAATCTCCGTGAAAGCAAATTAACCAAGAATTGGGCCATGCAGATTAGAGACTCACCTGAGCAGTTGGAAATCACCGATTCATAGGTTTTGCTTTTAATCCAAATAGTTCGGATCACAATGCCATACATGACGCTGCAGAAAGAACCAAAGGGAATATTAAAGTGGCTGGTGGATCCCTGCTGTGAGGACACAAAGAAGACCACTCCCACCTCCCTGAGTGCAAGGTGTGAAGGGAGGGATCTTTTAACCATGCCTGCCCCTCCCCCATACTTGCTGTTTACAGAGCTGAAAGTGACCATGAGGATCCACTGGATGGAGTTACTTCTTTCTTAAGTGAGGAGGCTAAGGCCTGGTAAAGTTATTGCAGTTTCCTCAACGTAACCCAAATGGTCTGAGGGAGAGCTGTGATTAAAATCCAGAAACAGGCTTTAGAGTCACAAAAACTTGGGTCTCCTCTACTACTTTCCTGTTGTTCAATCCTGACTTTAGACAGTCTTTTAAGTGGCATCTATGATCCCTGACTCTGGCATTCATGGCTTTGTGTGAACCTCACCCCTTTACTGTGGGAAGAGATGGTGACTTGCTTCTAAGCCATGCAATGTGGCAAAGGGAATGGGACTGATTACATAGAGCGTCGTGCCTGTCTTGCTGGTGTTTCTCTCCATTGCTGGCTTTGAAGAAGCAAGCTGCCATGAACCTCACAGCTGCAAGAGAATGAATTCTGCTAAGGACCTGAGGAAGCTTGGAAAAGAACCTTTCCTAGTCCAGCCTCTGATGACCCCCTGCCCTGGATAAACACCTTGACGGCTGCCTTGCCTGAGCAGGGGTCCCAGTTAAGCCATGGCCAGACTCTGACCCGCAGAAACTGTGAGATAATACATGTATCTTGCTTTAAGCCACTAGGTTCCTGGTAATTTGTTGTGCAGTAGTAGGTAACTACCACAGTGAGCCTTCGCTGAGATTCTACAAAACGGTGTTAAGAATACAGACCTCTTGAACTTGTTGAGTATCAGATGTGACAATATTTAAAGTACCAAGTATAGTGCTGAAAAATTAGTGCAGACTTAAAAGGCGTGATTTCCTTTCTTCCCTTTTTTGCCTATTTTGTACACTGTATCACACCAATTCTTACATGATTTAATCTGTGCCTAACAGGAAAACAAAGTGTTAATGATTCAAAAGTGTCAGCAAGTTTTTTGTCCTGGGTACTCTTTGATAAATAGAAAAACTCATACTCTTCTTTCATATTACTTGATATTTTGACTACATTAAGCGCCTTGACTAAAAACTTTGGGACAAAGCAATGCTTTATTTTAAAACTGCATTTCTTCCCTCTTGAGAATCATTAGTTTAAAAAAAAAAAAAAGCAGAGCTTCAGTTTGCAGTAGCTGACGAGGCACTAATTGCTTTTAATGATCTTTAGAATATAACTTAATTAATGGCCGTGTTAAAATCTCTGCTTCTTATTGCCTTTTCCCATCCTTGCTCAGCGAACCCCTCTGAGTGCTCCAGGAAAGCTCAGGGACTTTTTGGAGCATCTCCGTTCTTTCGCATATAACTGCCCAGGGACTTTTTTGAAATTTGTATGCCTGCAGTAAAGAACAATGTTATTAGTGAGTTCAACCCTAAGTTGAATATTTGCTAGAACAGGGAAGCTTCTTCCCCAGGTAAGTGAAATACTGTGCAAGGTAAGGTTACACCCACCATGAAATGCCTGTGGTTATGCCACATGCAACCCCAATATTTAACTGACAAATAATTCAAATATTTATGACTATCAACCATGTATATAGGGGGAGGGTTAAGAAATGTCTTCTGCTTTAGTGATTTGGGCCTAAGTCACCTGCCCTTTTTACCTAGGGCCAATCAGATGAGTGAAAGCCAGTAACAGCTTTTCTGTTAGCATGGTAAACACCTAATAACTAGGATATTATTGCCAAACCAGGCTACTACTTAGAGCATAGCAATCATGCATGAAAGAGACGTCTGCATTACTGTTTGTCACCATTGTTTTTGGACACAGGGTTTTGCTCTGTCACCCAGGCTGGAGTGCAGTGGCAGGATCATAGCTCACTGTAGCCTTGACCTCCCACTTCAGCCCCCTGAAGAGCTGGAACTACCAGTGTACACCACCATGCCTTGCTAATTTTTGTGTGTTTTGTAGAGACGGGGTTTCACCATGTTGCTCAGGCTGGTCTTGAACTCCCAGATTCAAGACATCTGCCTACCTTGGCCTCCCAGAGTGCTGAGATTATAGCTAATTTTCAAATTAATTTTGTAGAGACAAGGTCTTGCTATGTTGCTCAGGCTGGCCTCAAATTCTTGAACTCAGTTGATCCTCCCACCTTGGCCTCCCAAAGTGCTAAGATTACAGGCCGGAGCCACCATGCCCAGGCCATTTTAATTATTTGGAAGTGTACAGTTCTGTGGCATTAACTGCATCCACATTGTTGGGGTGCCATGACCACCATTTGTCTGCACAGTTTTTTCATCTTCCTCAACTGAAACTCTGTACCCATCAGACACATAAATATGATGTGTCTCATGGATTTGTGCATCATCCTTGTGTAGGAACCATGCTAATCTCTGTTGTCATTCCAATTTTTGGTAAATGTGTTATCAAAATGAGCACCTCTTATAATCTCTTGCTTGCTTATTGGCATAATCCTGTAACAATCCCACTCTGTTACCATCTCCACACCACCACTGAGGCTGTAGCTGCAGGACACGGAGCCATCCCCCGGCTTCATGACCCAGCAGCTCCCCTTTCCACAAGATGCTATCCAGTCTCTTCAGCAGGGCATCCAAGCCTCTCACAGTATTCCTCAACATCCTCGCCCTCCTGGCTTCCTCTACCCAGTGTCTCTCGACACCTTTCCCTGTGTTGGTTAGCCAACCAAACCACCCTGACTCCATAACTCCTATGCACTTCGGATGAGTGTGAGCTCCAGTGCTTCCCATCTCTCTGTGCCTGCTTTGCCCCCTCTTTGGAATGCAACTTTGTCTTCTTTTTGTCCATTGTCCATACATCAACTTGCTATGAAGCCTCCTTGAACTGCCCTTTTCTCCCTGGTAATCAGTTCCATCTTCCTTGGAACCCCCAGGCTGGCAGAACACCCATTGCTTTAATTCTGTCTATGGCGGTCATGTCTTCAGGATTGAGTGGACCTAGAATAGCTCTTTCTCATAAACAGAACTAAGGAAAAGCAATTTCATCATCTTGGGTATAACTTCCTTCATGTCTTTGTTCTATCTTCACTCTCTAAAGAAATGAGTTTAGCTTTTCTTGAAGCTTCTTAGAAATCTGAAAACTGAAGGATTGCCCAGACTGAGAAAAGTGCCCCTTTCTTGCACCTGGCTGGTTTATTGCTTGACTTCCTAGAAAAGGATCCAACACAGGCCTGTTTCCTTCACTTCCTTCATAGTGGCAGCTCATGGTAGTATGGTGGTGGCAGAACGGGGAGTGCGAGCCACCAGAGCAAGACCTGCAGATATCCAGGAGAATGCCTGAGGCCAGATCCTGAGCCTTGGTTCTGGATCATGTGCAGGAAGTGTCCAGGAAATAGGGCAAACAGTTTGTTCTCCCCATAAGACACGACAGAGAGTGCTCTATCAAACTGGAAGTGCCCCCGTCCTGACCCCCTCATGGCTCAGTATGGGGTTGGGGACTTGAAAGATGCCCATCACTGCCTTGGAGCTATAGACCTTCAGAGGCAGAGAGGGCCTAAGTTTCCACCTCCGCCAGCTGGATTTCCCGACCTTACCTCGTGGGGCTTGAGGGTGACATGAAGTTGTGCTCTGGAGGCCTCAGCAGGGCTATACACCTGTGCTCAGCCAAGCATGGGGAGAAGGGGTGAGGGAGAACTGGCCTTTTGTTTGATAATACCCCTTTTTCTTTTCTCTTACCAAGACCCTTAAGGATTCTTCTTGGCCAAAAGTGTCTCTCTCCTTCTTTAATTAATTTTGCAATAGTTATTTGAGCACCAGCTTTGTCCTAGGAACTGGATGAACTATTGTGGATACCATGGTAGGCAAAACAGACAAGGTCTCATTCCTCATGGAGCTCACATCTTAGCGAGAGATGATAACAAAATGAGGACACAAGTAATACATGATTGCAAAGGAGTAAAGTGCTATGAAGATACAATGCAAGGGGTACAAGGGTATATAATAGGGGCCCTGACTTGGTTGGGGGGGTGTGTTAGAAAGTCTTCCCAGAGGAGGTGAAGTATCAGCTGAGATCTGAAATATAAAAAGATTTTCTAAATGCAGAAGGAGAGTGATCATTCAGGCTGAAATGGGATCACGTGGCCGCTCCTGAACTATTCACACGGTGAAGGGAGGAGTTGCTGTGAGTGGCTGAGAGTGAAAGTGGAATGGATGCTGGAAATTCAACCACAACCATCTTCTGTAATTTAGGAATGTAGGGATACATACCTCTTGCCACTTCTCAGTTAATTTTATATATACATATATGGTGTCAGTTTGTCTTTTTGTAGAGACAAGGTTTCACCATATCTCATGATACATACATCAATACCAGCACTGGTGTCCTTTCCCTTCCTAATGTGATGGATTGACTTAGGGCCCTGTGATTCTCTTTGACCTTGGACCGCATGCCCATAGACAGTGCTGGCCAGGTCCCTGGGACCCTTTTACCCACTATGGCCGTGTATTCATTCCACAGGGCTGCACTGACCTGGCATAGGGCTTTCCCACAGTGTGATCCCATTTCCTAAGCAAAATAAATAAAGTTTTCTCACATGTGACAAATCAATGATCCATGACCAATGTGCTTTTTTCCACTTATTTTTTTTTCAATCGTTGGCCATGATTCTCTTCTGCTTTTACCTTTATCTTATAGAGATGACAATGAGAAGAGAATGAGAAATCAATTAGGTAGCAAGGAAATAAGCACAGCTAAAGTAAAGTAATTGCACTGGGGCTAATAACCTCCCCAGCAACAATTAGACAGTTACGTCAAGTGAATTTCAAAACAACTCTTGTTTTGATGCAGAAAAACAGCCTTTGCTGTCAGTCACTATGGTTTCAACTCCTAGCCTGATTTAGTGGATGATGGAACAGCTAAATCTTTATTCATACACTGCTCTCATGAGAGTTTGCCACCAACAATATGATTGCTTCTCTCTCTCTTTCTCTCTCTCCCTCTCTCCCTGTCTTTCTCCTCCTACTCATTATTTTCTCCCTTTTTTCCTTCCTCTCACATATATTTATGGAGGAGCTATCATATGCCAAAAATGGACCTAGGCATAAGATGGCCAGAAATTTTTATATTAGCAGGATGTGTACACGCTCATGCGCGTGCGCGTTTGTGTGTGTGTGTGTGTGTGTGTGTGTGTCTCTGTGTGTGTTTGTGCATGAAAGAGAGAGAGACTGAGGGAAAGGGAGAGAAAGAGAGAGTAGAGAGGGTGACATGACAGATCTGTTGTTAGGTGCAATTTATTGTGTTATTCATTCAATGTAATATTCAGCAACCAATGTTACACCAACAATATTAGATTGAATGTTATTCATTCAATCTAATATTTACACTAATATTTAATGTGTGCTGGATGTGAAATCCAGAAACAAAAAGGTCACAGTCCCTGCACTCATGAGATACAGTCACACTACCATATATTCTAGATAACTACATGGATAAAGTGAGGTTGCAGGTTAGGGAGTGAGGACCTGAGGTGCCTCTTTGTCCAGGGTTGGCAAGGGCAGCTCTACTGTGGAGCTGGTATTGGAAATAAGACACAAGGGATGTGAACTAACTGGCCAGAAGCAAGGCAAGGTGAGTTTGGCATAGTGTTCAGGCATGGGAGTGATGCACACGGGTAAGAGGGGTGTTTGTTCCATGGCTGGAGCTGGGAGTGCAGGTGAGGTCAGCAGCTCGCCATGAAGCAGCCACGGAGTCTTTGAAAAAGAGAAGTGGATCTTGTCCTAGCAGATACTAAATGCATATGAAGCTAGGCAGTAAGTAAAACAATGAAGTACTCATGGCAGAAAAGCCACTAAAGTAGTAACTTGTGCTTTCTCCTTTTTTCTTAATTATGTCAATCACTATCATTAATAACCAAAAACAAAATAAAACCATAATATAGAGGCAAGTGACAAATCAGGAGAAATATTTGCAACACATGCGAAAAGGGAAAGGTTATTGTATAAAGAATATCTCTAAATATAGAGAATAGAGAAAATAAAAACATTTAAACAATTAAAGTGGCATTACTTTTGAGGACAAAATCCGCAATTACTTTTGCACCAATCTAATAAGTACTTTAAAGAAACAAAAATGACAATAAGTATATAAAATACATTTAATCTCATTTGTAATGAAAGAAATGCAAAATAAAGCAAGTATGATATGTTTTTCTATCAATTTGATAAAGATATATATACATAGGTCGCATGCATGAAGAGCATGAGGCATGATGAACAACGTGAGTGACCACTTTCCTTGAGCTGTTTTCTTTGTTTATTTAAGCTTCAAATGAAGAATTTAACCTTACTCAGAGAATTGAGCCCAGGGGGCCAGAATATAGATAATAAAGAAAAAATAAGAGTTGAACCTTATCTCTGAGATGAAATTGTAGCACCTGTGTCAGGTACTAGTTGGAAACAAGTTCCTCACCAAATTCCCCCCGGGGCCTGGTCTCGTTAGAGAAGAGAGTCGTTGCTGAAGGAGGTGGAGGGTTAGTCCCCCAGTGACTTCTTTCTTTACCAGGGGGAGCCATGGAAGAGGGAAGGTGATGGAAAGGCAGCCTCTTGTCAGGTAGGAAATGCTTCAGAGAGACTCAAGGATGGCTGGAGGTCACAGCTGAGTTTTCATGACTACCACAACTGGAAGCAAGGAGCCAGGAGCAGGCCTTAACAGAGGCCTTAGCTTGATGAGAGCCGAGGGAAAGCAGCTTTTGAAATCATTTCCTTCAATCAGCAGACACATTGTATCTTGCCCTTTCAAGGACACTAAAAAAAAAAAAACATACTAGCTAGCCTGTAGGCAAGTTTGAGGAGAAGTCCTGGTGGGAAAAAAAAAAGCCCAAATTCATGGGGAAATCATAGATACAGGACATCCTGAGCTGCTGCGGTCCACGTGCTGCAGCATCCGCTCTGCTGAGCAGGTATTTTGACCATCATTTCTTGAGCTGATAGGAAATCAATCAGCAGTGAAGCCAGGACATGCACTGGCACTGAAATTGATGCCTCAGTTGCTCGGGATGACACAAGCCACTTCCTTCCAAATGCTCTCTGACAGTTGTGGCTCACTTGCCTGCCCCCTCTGCCATGGGCCCCTTCCCACATGCTGTGACTTACCTTGAATGGTTGTCTAAATAACCTTGTCTTTTTCAAGCTTCCTCTCAAGCTCAGCTTGATGAAGTAGAGGACAGTAAGTCGAAATAAATTGTAGGTGTTACGTTGTCCATTCAGCAGAGATTACTAGACAACACCCCATCTCAGAAAGCCTGCTGGGCTGGCTATTGGGGTTACTCTGTGCTTGCCCATCTCAATCTCTGATGGGGAGCAAGGCAGTTAGCTTCTTTTAGCCTTAAGTCTACTCTTATGAATAATTCAGGGGTTTGAGCATATGATGGATAACATTTCTCCCGGCTTTAGTATTCTATGAGACTAAAGATAAACAATAAGCAAAAAAAGATGACTCCCACCATATCAGAAAACACTTGAAAAGCATGCCACCAGCTTCATAATTAAAGAAGCGCATATTAAAACAATGATACACTTTTTAAACTCTTAGGTTGGCAAAGATTTAATAAGGAAATAGTACTACTTTCCATCAGATCGGGGAGCAAAAAGCAAGAGCCCTTGTATAGTGTTGCCCAGAATATACATTTTCTACAACTAATCTTAGCTAAAGGGCCAAGAAGCAATAAACCTTTTCTCAAGGGCAGCTTGTGACTATGCATCAAAAGTTTTAAAATGTGTATCATCTTGGATCCAGACCTTTGATGTAGTAATTCCTCTAGAATGAGTTATGAGGAAATAACCAGAGACTCATGTACAATTTTAAGTACAAGGATTTTTATCACAGCTCTCTTTACACTGTCAAAAACAAAGGATGATCTTCCTTTGCCCATGACGTGTTATATGACACACCATGGCAGGCTTAGAAGCACTTAAAAGGTGTAGGATCACCATGGCCTAAGAATAACATGCAATGTGCCAGGTCTCTCCCTGTAGTCTCCCACCCCATCCACACATACAGAGCCTATTTCAGAGGGTGATCCTGCCACATGGCCAGGTGAGACCCTACCTTGACCAGGCTGTTGTGCTAATTTCTGTTGAAAGACCATCTATGGCTTACCATTGGCTGCAGGACACAGGACATCCTATGACTTTGTTGCCAAGGCCATTCACAATTAAGCCTCCTCCAGCCACTGGAAGGAGCTCATTGCCAACTTATGTCCCACTGGCACTACCTACCTGTCCATTCTGCCCTCATACTCACTCCGATATCTGGTGATCACAGAGTCTGCTTCCTCCCCACTTCTCCCGTATCCTACCTGAATCCTTACCTCCTTCAATGGTGGCTTCCAAAATATATTCCCTGCCATTATGTGACTCCACTGCATACACATTTTAGCATTTTAGTGCATACTGAGTTTTATGTTCAGTTTGTTTTAGGTATACCTATCTTTCATTTACAAAATCCCTAAAACTGGTATTTTGCCTTGTATTTGAAAGGCTGTGAGATATAAGAGAAATAATATGGTATGAAATCAGAAAAACCTGGATTTCAATCTTGTTTTATGTTGAGTAAGATACTTAACCACTCTGAGCTTGGGTTTTATTATTCATTAAATTGGGACAATGGTAATTATTTCACAGGTTGTTTTGTGGCTAATGCAATAATTGTTAACTATTTAGCATGATGCCCTATAGTGTATATCCCGTAATTGTTCATTCCCTTCTCCTTACTCTACTTTGAAGAAACTAGGCTTAGCCCATGGTAGCTATTGATCGAATCTTGAGGCCTGGCCAATTCCCCCAAAAGCACTAGGAAAAATGGGCCTGTAGGGGAGGAAAGCAGCAGCTGGTGAAGCAGGAAAGCCCACCTGTCCCCACGGGCTCTGTGTGGTCCTGGCATGATAGCTTCTTACCTGATGATTGTCAGAGGGATGAAGTATACCAGGAAGGCCACAATGGTCATGTATGGGGTCCAGTAGGAGTCGTCAGGCCACATGGCCCAGCACTGCACTTCACCGTTGGAGAGTGTCCTCTTCCCAAATATGATCAGGGTGGGAATGGAGAACAGGAAAGACAGGCTCCAGGCAATCACGATGAGGACCCTGGCTTGCTTTTCTGCCCAAAGAAAAAAGAGGGATGCCTGGGTATGTGGCAACCATTTTCGAGAGCACAATGGAGTCTGCTATAGAAAAGGATCACCATGGGGCAGCCACCCTGGACTTCACAGAACCTCCCAGAGCCTCCGTTTCCTCATATGTAAACAGTGATACAGCACCTGCATACAGGGTCAATGGGAAGATTATAGAGGGAAGCTTGAACAGAAGCTAGCACATTGCCTGGCCTAAGGTTGATGCTTCTTCTTTCCTGATTTACCCATCTGATTTGAGATGTTGATGAATCCACCTCTGCAGTGTTAGGGAGCTCAGTCTGTGCTATGTACATCTGATAAGTTGCGGTGCAAATGCTGATTGTGTCTACCCACACGCAGTCAGTCTCTTGGTACCAGGCAGGGCTACAGGCTTTGGTCTGTGTGGCATCCTTTCACTGTACCCAGCACTGCAAAGCCCTGGGACAGTTTTCGAGAGTTATTTGCCAAATGGGAAGGAACCTTCTTTTTTTTTTTTTTTTTTGGTAGGAAAATGAATGGACTTATAAGGCAGAGAAAGAACACTGAACTTTGTTCTGGAGAATAGGGCTCATTCAAACCCAGCCCAGAAACCTGGTAGCTATGTCTGCTCACTGGATTTCAGTTGCAATATTCTGACCTTAGGTAAACTATGCAGTCTCAGCCTCATCTTTTCTTTAAATTGGTATAAAAAATAGCTGTTCTGGTCACCTCAGCAGGTTATGATGGGAATGGAGAGAGATAATTCATATATAAGCAAGTTCCTTTAAAATACACCCGTTGTTATGATGTGATGCTTTCTGTCAAGCTGTTGTTGAAGCCCTTGCCTCAATCCCTCACCTAGCTGTGCTTTCTGTGCTGCTTGCTTCCTGGGACCTTCTTCCAGAAACAGAAGGCCACCTTGCTCCCCTACTTTCAACTTGGAAAGCAGTGTGTCTTTGGGTGGGGTTGGAATGTAGTCAGTGGTGTTGTTGAATGGTGTGCTGGCTGTGGTCAAGGAGCTACAAGAAGTGAGAAAAATCTAGAGGAAACTAGGGAATCTATAAAAATCTCAAACCCGAAACATTTAGGAGAATTATTATTCTCCGAAATATTTCGGGTTTGAGATTTTTATAGAGTCCTAGGATCCTGTTCTTGCTGAATTGTATGCACTGGAAAGAGATATTAGATTTGTGTAGAAAAGAGTAGTTATTGGCCCACTGAGCAAGAAAGAGTCTTGGGGTAGAATTATAATAGCAATCCAATTAAGGTCTTTTCTGTTCTTTACTTGCAACCAGTAATCCACTGGGGATGGGGGAGTGGTTTTCTTGCCCACCTTTGGAAACTTAAGCCCCTTTGTGTCAGTGATGACTCATAGGTGACAGACACATTAAGTGGTAAACATTGTGTCAATTTAGTTAATTGCATACAAATTAGTAATATCAATTTTTATGTAATTAACTAAAACATTGTTTTATTCTAGATATCAATAAAACCCCCAAATTCCCAAGATCATTTCAAGTTAAGTCTTTTCTCTCTAGATGGGCTTGCTTCAGGGAGGAAGCTGGAGTCTGGGCAGGGGGACCGGCCCTTCCACTCTCTATCCTCGTCTGCTGTTCCTCCTCCTCCCCCAGATTGCTAACCATGTTGGGGTCTCTCCAGAGCTGGGGTACAGGGAACCCAGAGGAGGAAGAGGACAGTTCTCGCTTGCCTGGTGCTGTCATCAGATGGCTTTGTGCTGTCTGTGCCTGGCTGCCTCCAAAGCTGATTCTTGGTCCCCTGAGGAACTTTTCCGGGTCCTTTGGAAATTCTCCTGTGGGGTCTTTCTGGTTGACTTGGGCTTGACTTGGGCAGTGTCTTTCCAACCCTCCCTGGTGACCTCTAGCCTCTTTCTCCTGAGGCCTCTCACTCTCTGGCAGAAATGTCTGGGGCAGGATCTTTTTACACACAGCCTCAGGCAAACTTTGTGACGCAGGTTCTATATGGGCCCTCATGGCTAGGACCACAGTGCCAACCAGCCTCTCCTCAGCGTTCTCAGGTGTGAGGTAGTCATTGATTCACAATGCTCTCAAATACCAGAAACATGTCAAGCTCTGTGAGTCGTCGTGTGAAGCCCTCTCACTAGACTTGGTTTATGTAGACATCGAGTCACCTGTGATTAGGACAGTATGAAAGGTGAAAGAGAGACTGAGAATAGTGTCAACATCTTCACTGGATGAGAGTTGTGGCCATATGGGCACAGACATTGGGGAGGTGTTGTAGAAGGTAGTCTAGACTCATAGCATGAGCATCAGGGAAACAGAGTGGGCATGCGTATGCAATACCGAAGGAGAAATGGCCTGGAAGTGGTTTGGAAAGGGAGGAAAATGTCTTCACCACCACCAGGCCAGGAGGTACCTAAGAAAGAAGGCTGAGGAGCATGCTCTTAAGATGTCTTAAGGAAATCGGCCACCTCAGGAGGCAGGATGTGGAGGGATCCTCCTATTAGGAAGTTGATACCAGCTCCCAGTATAGGGGAGCTGGTCCCTAAAGGAATAGAGAAAAACGGGGGTAGAGAGAAGCAGTGGGAGTTCAGATCAAGAAAGAAGCAGGGTGGGATTAATAGGGCAGGTGATGGTACTGGAGGGGATTCTTCTTAATGGTGAGGTTGTGAAGCCTGATGGGTTTCTATGGACCTGGGTGACGTTAATAGCTGGCGCCTGTGCTCTTGTTCTTTCACTGGTTAGAATTCGAATGTCATCTCCTTCTGTAGGTCCCAGGGTACTGTTAAGGGCAACATGTCACTCCTGGGCCCCACCCAGATTCCCACTTGATGGATATACTGCATTCACTTTTGCGAGGGATGCACAGGGAAACAGATTAAAGGAGTATAGCACCATGCTTTAGGATCTCCTCTACCAAGGTCTCCAAAGATGTTTCCCTAAAGGCCCACCAGGGTACAGGCTTGGAGCTGTTTTTCTCATACTGGAGCTGGGCTATGCTGGGAAAGCCCCACTCTCTTAGGCTGTGATGCGGCTGCCACAGCAGGGAGACTGGTGGCCTTCTAGGCGGCTGAGCCCATGTGCCATGAAGAGTGACTTCTCAGGGCTGAAGGATCCAGGACTGAACAGAGGAAATGTGGTTTGCATATGAGGTGGACTGTCTTGTGTTTCTCACCCATGGAAAGTCAGACTCCCTCTTCCCTGTGCTCTTATCTAGCTCTGTGCTTCTCTGGGGCTTAGCCTTCCCTTTTCCATGTAACTCATTTATCTTTTTAAAAATTGTATAAGTTCCACACATTGATTACAGAAATACTAGCAAATAAAAATAAGCGAAAAGGAAGAAAACTCCATAGTGGCACCATCTAGAAACAGCAAGTTTAAATTTTGATAATGCATGCATATATAATACATAGACTACACATTTAAAGATGAGATCATGATACAGATGCTACCTTGTAAACTAACTTTTTTCCTCCAAAAAGCCTGTTATGACCATCTTTTCCTGTTAAGAAATGTGAACCTATACAAATGGCTTTTTTTTTTCTGGTAGTAAGATCCTTTCTTCAAATATAATTTTATCTTGGACCCAGTATAGAAACGTGTAGAAAGCTCAGGTATCCTCAACTCAAACTGAGACAGCCAGCAGCTCCCAGACCTGCCCTGGGGCAGGCCAGAGAAATGAGCCCTCTGGGGGTCAGCGTGGGAAGTGCAATTGGAAAAGCACTGATAAATGACATGTTTTCCAATCGTTACACCACACTTCAATTTTATCAATAGCTATTATTATCTAAGTTGTTTCCCATTATTTTTCATTATAAATAATTTATATGCATCTATTTTCTCAGTTCTAGTTATTCCTTAGGATAAACTCTTAGAAGATTTATAAACTTTTGACTAATACTGTTACGTTTCTCTCAAAAGTGCCTACAATTCATGGCTCTCACTGTAACTACAGAAGTACCCATTTCTTTATATTCTCCTAACACTTTGTTAGGAGATAATTCTTCCTTTTAATCTTGTTATGTGGTTGGTAAAATTTTATATCCAAATATTTAATCTCTCAATTCTTTCATTAATAGTCAAAAGGAACATTTCTATATATTTTCTATTCATTTTGTTTCTTTTTTTAAAATTTTTTTGTGATGAAGTCTCGCTCTGTTGCCCAGGCTAGAGGGCTGGAGTGCAGCTGTGCAATCTTCACTCAACTGCACCTTGCGCCTTCCAGGTTCAAGTGGTTCTCGTGTCTCAGCCTCCCCAGTAGCTGGGATTACAGTTATGTGCCGCTATGCCTAGCTAATTTTTGTATTTTTCGGTAGAGACTGGGTTTCACTATGTTGGCCTGGCTGATCTCAAACTCCTGACCTCAAGTGATCCGCCCAGCTCAGCCTCCCAAAGGGCTGGGATTACAGGCATGAGCCACAGCACCCAGTGTCATTTAGGTTTCTTTATTTTTTAATAGTTTGTTCGTGCCCTTTGCCCATTTACTCAATTAGAATGTTTTTATTTCTTTGCCTGACTTCTTTATAAAAAGGATATTGTTCTTGCCTGTTATATAAAAAGATTTCCCATTTGTAATTTTGCTTTTTAAGTTTGTTGATGGATATTTATTATTTATATAAATAATTTAATTTTTTCCCCTTGTTGTTTTTGCTTTTGGTGTGATTCCTGGAAAGGCCTTTTCCTCACTGAAATTATGAAGGTGTTACTCAAATATTCTTTTACTCCTTTTATGTTTAAAGTGCTCTTTTTTCAATCCAACTAAAATTTATTTTGTTATTAGCCATGGTAGGTGGCAATCTAATCTTTTGAAAAATGGACAGACAGCTATTTCAACACCATATACTGACTAATTCATTTTTGCTAGCTGATTTGAAATTTCATATGATTTATATGTTATTCTGGTTCCAGTATTATATTGTTTTAGTTATCAAAGTTTTATATTATGTTTTAATATGACACTGTATATTTATCTTTATTATTTTGATATTTTTCTAATTATTCTCATATTCATTTTTGATGAAGAGCTTTAAAATTGTCAACTTTTCTGGAGTTGCTGGCTAAGAAAATACCCCTTCGGTAAATAGCAATAAAATAAATAAAAGATGGCCTCCCCTCAGTTTAGCGGCCATTGCCTGTGCCTGCAGAGCTGCATTTGACTCTCTCCTGGCTTCTCCCTGCTCCATGGCTCTCCACAGAGAGCCCTGCTACTCTCTGGGAAATCTCCTCTTTCTACGGCTTTCTCTTAGCTGAGTCGCATAAACCCCGAACCCTGCCTCTCACAGCTGTCCTTAAATTCTGACAAGCTGCGGCACTAACGTGACTCCTGTGTTATTTCCTGGAACCTCTCGTGCCCTGTTCTCACAGGCTGCCCTCACCCTATAAACTTGTGAGGATCGGTTCTTCCTGTGCAAGGCCAGGGAGTGCTCCCAGGGGCTGAATTACACATTGACACTTGGCCTCCGTGTTTAATCTGCTCCCTCGTGTGCTGGGAATTCTTTGAAGTTTCTGGTATTTGGACGGCTTCTTTCCTTGGCTCTCATTCCAGATGCAGGTCTCCCCCTGTTTTTACATTTCTTCAGTGACTTTCGTTGGGACTGCCCAGAGGAGGGGAGCTGGCTAATGTCTGTTTCCAAGCTTTCATCTTTCCCAGAAGCTATGGATGATGAGGATTTTCCAAGCACCCGATGTTGAGCCTCTCTTAATTTTGTAGTGAGGAAATAAGTTGTTTTACATCTTTAGAAAAGCACTCTAATATTAATTGCTTCCTTTCTGATAATTTAGGACACTGTTCATGATATTAGACAATGTCTCCCAGAACTAGACATATTTTCCAAGCAAACAGTTAATTTTTTAACCCAGTGAATTTGGTGAAACGTAATCCATCACGTCACCCTCTTGGCTATGGGTCTCAAGTCCTCCCCTCTAACAAGTTTCCTGGGACTTCCCTCATGTAATTTCCTGTATTTATTTTTCCTTCACTTCTATTTCTTCACCTTAAAATTCTTAGGTGTCGATGTTCTTTTGTCCACCACATTCAATCCTTTCTGAAGTCTGCTAGGCATAAACAAATAGATGGACAAATACGTGTATCACGGGCCAGGTGCGGTGTTTCATGCCTGTAATCCCAGCACTTTGGAAGGCCAAGGTGGATTGCTTGAGGAGAGGAGTTTGAGCCCAGCCTGGCCAACATGGTGAAACCCCATTGCTACTAAAAATACAAAAATTAGCCAGGCATGGTTAATTACAGGTACACACCAGTAATCCCAGCTACTCAGGAGGCTGAGGCACAAGAATCACTTGAGCCCAGGAGGCAGAAGTTGCAGTGAGCCAAGATCGAGCCACTGCACTCCAGCCAAGATGACAAAGCAAGACTCTGTCTTAAAAAAAAAAAAAAGTGTATCACAAACCAAAAATAAAGTTAGAAGGGCCTCCAACCATCTGAATGAATTTCTTCCTCAGCCAAGGCTCTTTTAAAATGTAACCTGAGAGGCTGTTCCAGGCCATGCTGGGAAGTGGGGGTCGGGCATGTCTCATTGTATCTCTCCAACATTAACAGCAACACAGACTTTAAGTCTGATGAGAAACATTTTACAACCTAGTCTCTCACACTGGAAGCCTACAGCCTGAAAGTTTCCTCTGAAAATAAGAAATATGGTCTCCACAATTCTTTATCTTAACTCAGACATTTCTTTCTATTGATCTCAGGTCTTTAGATAAATTCGACCAAATGTCAACCAGAAAAAAGTTAAATCTACCTATCATCTGGAAGCCTCACCCACCCCACCCGACCCTACCCAACCTGCCATTTTGGGCCAACCCTATGTATTTCTTAAATGCGTTTGATTGAAGTCTCATGTCTCCCTAAAACGTATAAAACCAAGCTGCATCCTGACCACCTTGGGCTCATGTTCTTATGACTGCCTGAGGGCTTTGTCATGGGCCATGGTCACTCATTTTTCGCTCAGAATAAATCTCTACTCATATTTTACAGAGTTTGATGCTTCATTGACACATCTTTGCATATCTATGTCATGAAACGTCCTTCCTACCTCTCCTGCCTCATCCATTCCCTGCCTCCCCTCTCATAATAACTAGGGCTGCACAGTGCCCAGAAAACTTGGTACAAGACTCAACCTTTCACAAAACAGACAGGTCAAATTACCAAGAAGAAGCCTAGGAAACAAGTATACATTCTATTTGTTAAGTTAACTTCTAAGCCACTTTGTTGGTATATAATTGACATATAAAAAGCTGTACATATACAACACATACCACTTAATTTGTCTGGAAATATGTACATACTTATGTAACCATCATTACAAGCCATGCCATAAACATATCCATCACTTCCTAAGGCTTCTTCCTGTCCCCTTTTAGTTTTGTTTTGTTTAGTTTTTTTTCCTTTTGTGGTAAGAGCACTTAAAATAAGATTTACCTTGTTAGCAAATTCTTTTTTTTTTTTCGAGACGGAGTCTCACTCTGTCACCCAGGCTGGAGGGCAATGGCACGATTGTGGCTCACTGCAACTTCTGCCTCCCAGGTTCAAGCGATTCTCCTGCCTCAGCCTCCTGAGTAGCTGGGATTACAGGCATGTGCCACCATGACCAGCTAATTTTTGTATTTGTAGTAGAGAAGGGGTTTCAATATCTTGGCCAGGCTAGTCTCAAACTTCTGATCTTGTGATCTACCTGCCTTGGCCTCCTAAAGTGCTGGGATTACATGCATGAGCCACCACACCCGGCCGTTAGCAAATTCTTAAGACTGCTATTTAGTATTGTTACTCATATGTCTCACGCTGTGCAATAGACCTCTCGTACTTATTTAGCAGGATCAAAATAACTTAATTTTAATTGCATACAACACATTAATATGTTCTTCATGTAAAAATTACTGCCTTGCATATAAGTTCCTGTGGTGGTCACTACCACTAGTCTAACTCCCATCCGTAGCAGTGAGGTCAAATGTCAAGTTGGTGTGTGTTTTTGCAGATTATTGTTCATTTTCCCTTGAGCTCTCTTTTGTGTGTTCTCTCTGCTCCTCTCTATCTTTCTGTACATGGTATCTAGCATTTGTTTTGAGTTTTTGACTCTAATGGTATCATTCTGCATGGGTTTTTGTGCATGTTGTTTTTGTCACTCAGTATATAATGTAGATATGTTCATATTGATGCGTATTACTTCCAACATAGCTCTACCACTTCCACATTGAGAGGTGGCTATATAGTATTTGAGGGCACCAGAGCTAGACCCAGACTGTGTGGGTTCAAATCCTGCTCCTGCACTACGGGCTGTGACCTCGGGCAAATTACTTTCACTCTTGGAACAGCAATTAACTGTAAAATGCAGATAATAATAGAACCTACCTAAAGAGATGTTATGAATATTAAAATATTTAATACGTGTAAACACTTAGAATCGTGAATGACGCCTACTGTGCAATCAATAAACATAAGCTACTGAAACTTCTTCCATAGACTAGTTAACCATTCCTCCACTGAGAGACACCAAGGGTAGCAATGAATTCCTGCTCTTCTAGGCAATGCCACAATATGCATCACATATGTATACATGCACACATGTGGGTGTTTCTCCAGAGCAGATACCAAGAAGTCATTTCAAAGTGCTGCACATTTTATATTTCAATAAGATGTGTTTACTTATACCCCTGTCAATAATACATGAAATTACCATACTTCACCCCCCTTCTTGCAGATCCTTGATAATGTTAATTATACTTATCTTAAAATTCTATTAAATTTGCTTCCCTAGATGCAAATTCTAAGGAATCATTTTTTAAGTGTATTATCTGTTTTCTACTGTTTGGATTTTGTCGCTTTTTAAACGTTTGATTGCACCTCATTTTTGTGATCAAGATTGTTAGGTTCTTTATCAATTTTCAAAGCTATCTGGAGGAAGGGGAGTACGGGCTGTTAAACACTGGCTTCTTAGTTGCCTTCAGTGTGTATGGAGAAGAGTGGGCTCCAACTGTGGGCAGAGCAGTGGGCAGCTAGTCTTGTGAATATGTACTGGCCCTTCCTCTATGGCATTAGTGCTCCCCAGGGCCCCACTCTGCATCTTCAAACCCAGGGAAACTTGCTATGATTAATCCTCCATGTTGTACTTCAGGAATCACCCTGTCAGTTGCCTTGGGTCCTCTCCTGCACTCCACATTTATGCAGCCTGTTTAGGAAGTGCTCTTGAGAACTCTCCCATCCCACTTGAGCATCATCTGGGGGTAGTGTGGGCTGTGTGGTCTCAGCCTTCCCTCCAGCCAATCTGCTTCCATTTCTTAGGGATCCCTCACCATTTCTGAATCAAGGAGAGTTTCCTTTCATCCCACCCCAATACGATTATCAATTAAAAATATCTTTCCAATTCTTTCTATGGTTTTGGATAAGGAGGACAAGATATTTGTTTCTGAGAAGTTAGTATGGGAGAGTTCATTTCTTTGGACAGGTATGCATGTCAACACTGTTGTAGTGGAAAAAGATGAAAGCATCAGCTTCAAGGTGAATGGTCACAAAGTGGGACAGCCACCTACCTTCCTTAGTGGCTCTGGGCTGTCCATGGGAACCATCAGCATTTTCCCAGGCATCTAAGTTTTCTTTTGCACATCTTTTTGGACAATCAGACCCGTGAAGTGAGGAAAGAGGTAGAAGAGGAGAAGGAAGAGAAGGAAAGAGGAGGAAGGTCACAACTATTAAGAGTTACATATTAGTGAAAATGATCCTACCCTCACTCAAGGACGATTCTTTATGAAACAGCACCTGGTCAAGCCAGCTCACCTCCTTGAAGGAACTTCATGGGGTAGACGATGGCGTGGTACCTGTCTATGCTGAGGGACACCAGGACGTAGGTAGAGGCGTAGAGCAGCACAACCTAAAGAGAGAAACAAGAAGAGGCTAATCACTTCAGAGAGGTGAGAGAATGCACAGAATGGAAAGAATAGCACCTTGTGTTATTTAGAAACCTGAGAAGTGAACCAAAGAAGGGGTGAGGGTTGGGTTAGGGAAGGAAATAAATGAATCTCTGATATAAACAAGAGACAGGGAAATACTGGGTAGAAAAGGGCAGTTCCCCAGCAAAAATGCTACCTTCAAGCCTGGAAACCAGTGCCCCTAAATGAGAACAGGCATTCCTGTTTTCGTGTCCAAAATGTTGCCTTTTGGCCTGCCACATGCCCCTATCCTGTACCCATATAAACACCAAACCCCAGGCTCCAGGAGGAAATGAGCAGATGAATGGCAGAATGATGTGGCAGAGAAGGAGAGAAGAGAAGGAGAGTCTGAATGCCAAGAGGAGTTCAGCTTGGGACCACCAGAGAGGAGATTGGCCGACGGACGGCCAAATTCCAGGGGAAGATCGTCTTCCCTTTCCATCCCCCTTCTAACTCCCCATCACTGAGAATTACCTCCACCACTCAATAAAACTCCTGCATTCATCCTTCAAGTCCATGTGTGACCTGATTCTTGTTGGACTATGGACAAGGTCCTGGGTACCAAGAGGGCACTGAGCTGGTTAACGCTTAAGCCATCTGCAGACAGCAGAGCTAAAACGGCACAGTAATTCAGGGGCTTCAAGAGTCACAGCTACCCACTCCAGACACTACTATGGAGCCAAAGCCCAAAGCATTTGTCCTGGCTCCTGCACCTGCCCTTCTGTGTGATCCCCCTCCTGTAAGGGTTTTGAGCTTGAGGCAGCCAAACAAAGAGCTATATCCCTGTCCCACATCCTGTGATGGATGGGCCAGGGAACTCTCCCGTTTCATCTCCATACCAGAAAGCAAATTTTGGTTCCTGGTGCTAGAATTTGCACTGTTGGCTATGATGAGTGAGAATGCTTCCAGTTCTTTCTTGCTTACTCAGTCCCTTGGCCTCTTGGAAACTGTGTATTTCAGGACAGTCCTTCTTGACATTTGCATGGTACATTTGTTTGTAATTGACTTTTAAAGCTAAACTAATTTTCCCAGCCACAGTTGACATTCCAGAATAATTAGAAAAAAAAGTTCATTTGCCTTTTATCAGCAGGAGTCAAGAGATGACAGAAGGATTCCCGTTCTAGGGAACCTATGTGCAATGTTGAATAATTTATCATCATTAGCACTGACACCATCTGAGAGCTCCCCCTTTTCATCCTCTTCATTAGGCTGAGGCTCTGTTTCTCCTCTTCCTTTCCACTCTCTCTTTTATTAACTTTACTCACACCTCTTAATTATCTGTGTACATCTTTTTTTTTTTTTTGGCATACTTAGCAGAAAAGGAAATCGGGATTTAAGAAGTTAATTTATCTTATGTGAAGACCATATTTAAAATGTAATTAAATGAAATATATTTGAAGTGATGATCAAGGTGAAATTTTTTTCAGATAACTTGGAGCCTTATTTCTACCAAGAGTCCAGCTGTATTTCTGCTTTGTAACATTCGGATCAAATGCAGATGGGGTAGGAGAGTAACTTGTATACTGAAGTCTAACGGTGAGTATTTATTTCACTTTCTTCTTGGCAATTGCCTTTGTTCTGAATTCATGCCTTTTGTTCTTTCTCTGGATCAGACAAACAACATTCAAGTACATTGTTGTTCTTTATTATTTCTACAAATGCATCTCAGCATGAATGTTGTGAAAGACACCAGGGGGAGGAGATCCTGAGGAATGATTAGAAATTGAAGGCACATAAGAAAGAATGAGATCATGTCCTTTGCAGGGACATGGATGGACATGGATAGAGGACATTATCTTCAGCAAACTAACACAGAAATAGAAAACGAAATACTGTATGTTTTTACATATAAGTGGAAGCTAAATGATGAGAACACATGGACTCTTAGAGGGGAACAACACACACTGGGGCCTATAGGAGGATAGAGGGTGGGAGGAAGGAGAGGATCATGAAAAATAACTAACAGGTAGGAAGCTTATTACCTGGGTGATGAAATAATTTGTGCAACAAACCCCTATGACACAAGTTTACCTGTATAACAAACCTGCACATTACCCTGGACTTAAAATAAAAGTTAGAAAAAAAGGTTAAAAAAGAAATGGAAGGCCCCCCGAAAACTACAGGAAAAAATTGTCCTCTTGGGAAACAGGTGATAAATAGAGAAAGAGAAAATGGATGACTAAGTTTAAGAAAACAAAAATCGAACAATTGTCTACTTAGACAAAATTGGGGTTTCTACATGTGATCCATGAATTTAGAACTATTAAGCCTGCTACACACAGAGGAGGAGAAGGATGGAAAGGAAGCCATGCAATGGTGGAACGTGTGGGGTGGAACATCATGGTGAGAAGTTTATAAGCATTTTGGTCCTCTGTAGCTGTCTTGAGGGAGGAGAAAGGCACAGTTCAGAATCTGGAGCAGGAGGAAGAGTCACAAACAAGAGTCACCAGAAGAGCAGTCAATGTTGATAAAAAGATACCAACTTCGAGATACAATCCAAAAGAGTATTTTATTTCAGAGATTAACCATCTTCAGGCATTTAAACAGGGTAAAAAAAAATTAAAGGTTACCTAAAAGAAATGCATCTTAAATTATCATACCTCTTTTCCACAAGAATAAATGCCAGAAAACAGTATAACAACATGTTCAGAGTTTTGAAAAAAAATTATGACATGAGATCTTTGTAAATATCATTTCTGTGCCAAGGCACAGAACAATTTTCTCAGATATATAAGAAAGAAGAAAATGTAACATCATATACTCTTCCTGGCATACTTCAGCTAATTGAGAATTGAATCAAAATTAAGCATTCAGCAAGAAGAAAGAGGATAGACTAATAAAAACTATGGTAAGCAATGAAGTTAGAAACACATTAAATGCTTGCAAAATAATTATAAATGTGATTATGACACATTTCAGGAACAACTTTAGGGAGTTGAATGAAGGGACAGAGTAAAAAGAAAGATAGTATGTTCAATTTTGTTATGCATTTTGGGCATCCCTTTTGTTTTTTACCTTTATAGGGATATATTAAAGCTAAAAGCTTAAGATAAGTTATGATAGAGTAAAATAAAAATGGAGAAATTTTAATTAGTTTCCTATGGTGGCTATAACAAATTAACTACAAACTTGTTGGCTTAAAACAACATAAATATATTCTCGCACAGCTTTGGAGACCAGAAGTCCAAAATCAGTTCTACTGGGCAAAAATAAAAGTTTGGCAAGGCCATGATTCCTCCAGAGACTCTAGGGAGAATCTGTCCCTTGCGTCTTCCGGCTTCAGGTGACTGCCAGCAGTCTTTGGCATGTGGCCAAAGCAGCCCAAGCTCTGCCTTTTCCTCTTCTGTGTGTCACATTCCCTTCTACCTCCCCGTTATGATTGCATTTGGGACTCGGTGGGATAAACCAGGATAATCTCCCTGTTTTAAGATCGCTAACTTAATCACATTTGCAAAGCTCCCTTTTCTTATATAAGGTAACATCACAGCTTCCATGGATTAGGATATGGATTTTGTGGTGGGGGGATGGGAGGGCTTTTTTAAGCCTACCTTAATTGATAATCAATAAAAAGAAAAAAAAAAAGAAAAAGAAAAACAATAGCAACAAACAAACACTTAACATAGGAAAACTAAACTGAGGTAACTGAAATAACACCAGACCCCAGCACTGTCTGTCACAATACATGTGAATGACTTAATATCTTTCACTAAGAAAACAACTATTATTTTAAAACATCACTAAAATCCAATTCTATGCTGTTTAAAAGAGAAAAATGTAAAAACCACATCACTTAGATATCTAAATGTGAAAACAGAGGAATGGCCAAAGATATATCAAGCAAGTAAAAATTAAAGAAGGCATTAATTACCATGCTGCTATTAGACAAATTAAATTCAAAGCAAACAACATTTCATGTGATAAAAGATTATTTATATTGATAAAAGATACAATACATGGTGGCAATAGAACACTCACAAACTTATATGTAACAAGTAATGTAACACTAAATATACAATGAAAATGTTCAAAGTTTTGCAGAAGAATAAAAATATATAGGTAGAAAAAAATAGACTTCATAACATAAGAATACTACACATCTCTATAAAATATCCAGACATTTCAAAAATTGGTGATATACTAAACTACCAAGAAAAAAAACCCTCTCAATAGCTCTAAAAAGTAGGGCTTACGTAAATCACATATTTAAAACAATGAGCAATGAAGCAGAAATTAGTAACATGTTTTTTTAAAAAATACCACTTGGAAATTTAAACACCCTCATAATTAACTCGAGTCAAGAAGGAAATCAAAGTACAATTATAGTCAATTCATAAATGTCAACAATGAAAACTCTACACATCAACAACATATGGGATACCATTCGGAGAACAGATGGCACCCCGAGGACATATGTCTGAATTCTCACTACCCCACCCCTTAATTCTGACAGAAATGACCTAGGAAATATAAAACTTAAGAAAATCTTGCACAGAAAAGTGAGACTTAAATGCTGGAAACAGAGAAATTTTACTTAGAAAAATGCCAGATTGGATTCTATAAACGAGGATCCCTAGACTGACTTTAAGAAAATAGACTTAATTTTTCATAACAATTTTATATTTACAAAAAAATTGCAAACAGAGAATTTCCATATTACCCCTCTCCCATCTATATAATTTTCCTTCCTATTAACATGTTACATTAATGTAGTTTGTTCATCAGTTTGTGTAAATTGACGAACCAATATGAATACATTATTATTAACTAAAGTCCATTGTTCACATTAAGGTTCACTCTGTGTTGGACAGTTCTATGGGTTTTGACAATTGCATAATGTTATGTATCCACCGTATAGTATCAGAAGAGTTTCACTGTCCTAAAAATCCCCTGCTTTTATCTACTCATCTCTTTCCTTCTCCAAATCTCTGGCAACACTGGTTTC